TTTCTTTACATTGTTTAATTCGAATCAAAAGGGAAAAACTGCTAATAGACCAATAGCTTAAACTAAGAAGTAATGTAAATATAAACATTATTTACTGACAGTCTCAATTGTTTAGTCCAATTATTCAATATAACACCTTCTTATCCAGCAAACCACTTTATTCAAAACACTACAAATATTTTTGTTCTACAGTAGAGCATTGTTTATCCAAATCAATTGGGGACTGGGGTTGTTTGGATAACTTATTTTTCGAATAACCGATTATGTACAAAAAAATACATAACCTATCCCGTGTTGAAATTTTTCTCCGTTGCGTGTCGCTTCGTGTTGAATTTTCGTCGATATTAAGCCTAATGTAAACTTTTTAAAATAATAATCGTGGTTATTGTATCGTTAAAAATTATTTCTTTATTTTTTACAAACAAAATAAATATATTGAAAAATATTTAAAAAAAATAATTATGGACTTCGAACTCACATTTGAGTTATAACATAAAAAAAATTATACTTTAGGAGTTAATCTAGTATCAAAAACGTTCGATTCAGAATGACACACAGTCCTCAGAAAAACACCACACACAAGTACCAGTGCTGCCAGCTAAAACACACACANGCGAGACACAGTCCTCAGAAAAATACCACACAAAAGTGACAGTGCTGCCAGCTAAAACACATACACAAACATAAAAAATATTGGAGTAGCCCAAGATATAGCCAAAGATTGCAGTGCCACAGCACTAGCAAAAATTTAAATTTGCCAACTGGAATTCTTTCGGATAACCAACTTTTGGATAAACGACACTCTACAGTATTTTAATAGGTCTTGCTTAGGCAATACTTCTAACAACATTTTCAGATATGAAATGTTCCAATTCAAATATTTTTAAAAAGGTATTTGGTATAAAAATTTTTTATCATTATTATTTGATAATGATGAAAAATTTTTAGATAGAACATTTGATAGAACATTTTACAAGTCATTTGGAATATTTCAATTTCAAACAATTTAGTTACATATTCAAAACATTTTCATTTTATATATCCAAACAAGTTATTTACATATACAAATAAATCAACATAGAATTATTACACAATACCTCAAAATAGAAATAAAAAACCCTACAGTAGTATATAATGTTAAATCACAAAGGAATGAAGAAATGCCATGGCTAATTACCTGAGATTATAAAGGATTTCCCATGCAGGTGAAATGATTTCTGCATCCCTTTCAATGTAAAAATGTTTTGAATATTTAAATTCTTCCAATATGTAAGCACAGTTGTTGACTTCAACCCTAGATTAAATCCAACATACAGGTTCATTGCCAAACATTTAAATACCAGTCTCATGTTTAAATGAAATCTAACACTATTCAAACTTTCAAGCTATTATCAAATTCTAAAAACAGAAGCCAACAAAACCCCTGGGATATATTTTACACTACTGTAAGACAGCAAGTTTGATAGCCAATTGACTTATGAAGGTCAACATATAGATCATTGACAAAATGGCTCAAAGAACACAGCATGCTATTTACAAAAATAAGTGTGGCACTGACACAGTCTGCAACTGAGACAGGAGTATATCCTCAATGGTCCGAGTCCAAAATTTTAAAACATGAATTAGATAGCCATAAGCTAAGGATTCTTGACCATTTGAAATGTTTGCAGCAACTCTTAAAAGAAAGTGTATCAATAATAAAGAATCCCTATATGTACCGACTCTGACTCCAACCAGGGGCAGACTTGTTACTGAAAGAGACCCGGAAATTCTGATGTCATCACATGACCTCAGAATAAAAGATTCAATAAATTGAGTTCTAATAAAGATAGAGAGTAGAAACTTTTTATTCCAAAGCTAAAAGACTCCTCTAAGTAATGACACAGTCAATATATAAATATGTATTCAATAATTTTTACTTTTCCGGCTGTTATATCTAACAGAGGAAAAGTGTAGCGGTGGGTCAAAAAATGACCCCTCCCAAATTTTTACATTTTTGGATTCAGGACACCTTGAAATTTCGAGATATGCAAAAGATTTGAGGTTTTTTCTATATGTATGGATGTTAGACTGTGTGTGGGGGGCATGATTTTGTTTACCCTGCTTGAAGCCAAATAATTTCTGTGGTCAGAGTGGTCAGAATTGGAGTCAGACAGTTTAACACAGGAGTTAGTTATTAAGCGTCAAAGTGATTGAACTAAATCGTGTCCCCATATACATTCTAACATCTTAGGCAAGAACATCTTAACGTGTTTTACTGTACTATTATAAAATGACAAAAAAAGCTTACTTTGAGGGTAGAGACAAGTTTTATTTTATTTTTTTAAATTTCGAACGCTAATAACGAGTGAAATATTCATTAAGAGATATGACACATGACCACTTTTATGTCTTCACCCTGTCGACCTTTAATTAAGAACCAAAATTTAATAGTATTAATGCTCCTATATACGCAAGCTGCAGTGCCACNTTTATTTTATTTTTTTAAATTTCGAACGCTAATAACGAGTGAAATATTCATTAAGAGATATGACACATGACCACTTTTATGTCTTCACCCTGTCGAGCTTTAATTAAGAACCAAAATTTAATAGTATTAATGCTCCTATATACGCAAGCTACAGTGCCACATTTTGTTTCTTAAACATTACCCATTCTGAGATATGGTTTAATTAATATCTCAGAACAGAAAATAAAGAAATTAAACAAATTAGATGCCAATACACACACGTGCGTATTTTTCCCCTTTATTGACTTTTTTCAGGGATTCGGGAGGTCTCCAAATGTGTAGATTTGCAAAAAAAGAAAAAAAAAAAACTTGGAGGGTCAAATTTGACACGATTCCAATACTTTTCCATTTTATATACATAACAAGTTGGTAAGTAAAAAGGAGTCGGAGTTGGTGGATTTTTTGATGACTCCGACTCCGACTAAAACACCAAAACTCCACGATTCTGACTCCACAGCCCTGCTTGAAATAAATGGTGCGGCTAGATGGAACTTTTAATCTTTTATTTTAACTTTTAACCTAATACTTTTTAATTACTTTGGTTACTTTTGTAATCTTTTATGTAAATGTACAATTATGCAATTTCTATTTTGATTATTATTATTTATTTGTTTACAACATGTACTTATTTAATCAATTGATTTCGTTATTCATGTAAATCAATCTATGTAAATGTATGCTTGAAAGATATCTATTTTCAAAGCTTCTGACATCAATAAAACACAATTGTTGACACACATTTGATTTGGTTAATATTGAAATCTGACACAGGCCCCTAAATGTAGCCCAAAAATGTTCATATATTAAAGTATTGCTGCTGGAAAATGTGGATGGTATAAATTATTATATTTAAATTGTTTGAAATTTGAAATATTTCATCAAACTTTTCTGATGATGAAAAATTTGGTTAAACCAAATACCATTTAGTTATATTAAAAACGTTTGAATTGGAACATTCATATCCAAATATGTTGTTATTAGGCTAGAGAAAGACTATCAAAATAGGTTGAAAAAATTTGTAGTGTTTTGCATGAAATGGTTTGCTGGATAAAGTGTTACATTAAATAATTGGACTAATGAGAAATCCAGTTTGTTTCCTCTTCTAAATACTTAGTTTTATATTTAACTTGTTTTATCTATCCTCACTTTCATTGAATAAGTCATAGCAAATTGATTAATAATATTACTCTTAACTATTGATTATATTTATCAATAGCAAAGTAAGCAAAATACATAGTACAGTCGACCCCCCCTATAACACGGTAGATACGTTCCGGTTTTTATGAATCATTTTCTACGAGTCCAGCCAATCACAGCCCGGCACATATGACATATGAGTTTACAGACTACAGCTGTTTGAAAGGTTTCTTCCATAAAATTAATCGATTCTAGACTAATTTGACTCAACATTTCCAAAATATGTATAATTTTTTGGGAATAATCCATATAAACTATGCTATAAACAAAAAATTGTAGGATTACTTACAAAGTGTGCACCGTTCGACTATGCCATTGCTTAAGCTTGTTTTTGTCGTGGAGCTTGTCATCGAATGGCGCTCACATGCTTCCTGATAAATTATTTTTTTTGCAAAAAATTTGCTGAACTTTGGAGACATCATTAATATAAATATAATTTTTATGGATGTTAAATAATAAATGGTTTTTAGTAGATCCACTGCTCGTTTAAACTCAACGGTTTGTGCAATATCCGCTATTGCTCTAGGTTCGACCAATCCTGTCGCGACACGAGTTGGCGATGACATTTTACCGAATTATATGAGTTTTTTTAGCATGTCTGTACAAATACAGTCGCAATTTTTTTGCCATGATATAGGAATCCGAACTATAGAAACCCATGTTATAGGGGGGTCAACTGTAACTGGTAACTGGATGCTTTCCATACTTTGCAGATTGCATCACCAAATTTGTTTTGAATAAACAACCCACTGCAATTTTTTTCAAATTTTTGGGAAAAGAAATGCACAGATTATTCAAGTAAATATGATAATATAGATAAAATATATTATATTTGTCATTTGTGATGTTAAAAAGACAAATAGCAATGCCATAGCATGATGAAAAATTTGCACATAATAATAATTTAGTAGCAAAATGATAAACATTTTTCCAGCAACAAAGTTCATATTACATAAAATTATTTTAAAAAAGTGAATTTATGAATTTATATAACACATGAAATGAAATCACTCAAAAACACAGTGCATATATACAATGAATAAATTTATCATTTGTTATGAAAATAGAATAATATCATGTAATGATTAAATTTTATCATAAAATAAGTTATTACTTTTGAATGTTTCGATTTAGAATGATAAATTATAATCAACTGATAAAATTTTAATTAGTCAAGTTAAAAATTTCCATCATTAAATACAAATCATAATTTTATTGTTTATTCAATAATATATTTAAAATCTAAAAACTCATTTGAAATTAATATTGTTTTTAAAAAATTATTAATACTTACTGGAGGTGGAAGAGAATGATATCTAATGTAAAATCCAGCAGCTACTAGACACATATCTCTTACAACAATCAATGCAGTTAACGGTACTACAAAAAAAATTAAATGTTGATAAATTAACTTATAAGAAATGTTAATTTTTTAATGCAAGTTCTTATTATTAAGTATCCAATATTTAATTTTTTTATTACAGTCATCAAAAGGGGAATATAAACAACTATTAGTACTGCTTTTGAAGATTAATAATAAAATTCAGGAAAATATACTGAGTATGCATAAGGTCTATGTTGAATTTTAGAAATTTATTTTTAAAACAGTGTGAAACTTACAGACACAGTTCCTGAATCAAAAGGTGTAAGAACTGGATCCCAAATGTGCACCTTTAATTGCCCACAGCACATCTTAACAATACTAAATTTTCTGCCATGTGTTCAATCAGTATGTCCAGTGTCACACATACAATGACTTCTCTGATGTCATTTTCCAGCAAGATGGTGATCTGCCACATTGGAGAGTAATCATATACACTTTCCAGGACACCACATTTCCCAACTGCTGGGTAGATTAGGATGATCCCACCCACTGGCCCTCCATGCTTGCCTGACATAATCCCTCTAGATTTCTTTCTATGAGGTTATGTTAAGGACAGAGTACACAAATGTATACAAGATGTGGACATGCTGAAACAGTGAATCTGAAAAGTCATTGCAAGTGTGATATCGGACATGCTGACAAACACGTGGCAGAAAATTGTGTATCGCTTATATGTATACTACAGACAACAAAAGGTAAACATATGGAGTGTGTACTGATATGCTGACTACAACTGTTTGTGTTTGTCTAGCTTTTGATATAGGAACTGCATCTGTAAGTTTCACACTGTTTTAAAACTAAGTTTCTAAAACTTCAGACTTTATGGATATCCTGTAAAATAAAAATAAAAAGTTAGATTTTTCTGATATTTTAATTATTAGTTTTAAATTGACTATAATTTTGGGAGTAATCTAAACAATGATAAATAAGATAACTTTATATTTATAGTAAAATTAAATTTAAAATATTTATGTTTTCTCTAAAAATAAGTTTCCTCTTCTAATAGTGTCTCTATTCTATAGTGATGATAGTTTTAGTGAGCTGGGCTGTGGTATTTCAGTAAGATTCTCTAAGTTTTGTATTGCTAGTAGTTGAATTCAACTAAGAGAGATACTTATCAATGTCAAAATGAAAGTATCAAAAAGAGTAGAAAGATAACTAGGTGACATATCAGATAGAGCAGACAAAGGTTATTTATTATTATTTTTTTAACAGCTCAATTTTTAGAATTTCTCTAAATCCTAAGTTTTTTCCTCCATAACTGTGAAGCAAAGAAGTTTGGATGCCTTCTTTGCTTTACAGTCCTAGATCTATCTCCATTCATTCATGCTGGAGCTATAATGCTCTTTAATGTGTGATAATTGTATTTTAGCCTGATAATATAGATTGTACAGGATATCCTTTTGATAATTTCTGACCAAAATATTGACTTTGACAAATATATTTTTAGACTCTTTTTCTAGTTATCTTGATTATATCTAATAAGGATGATCAAATGAACTTAACAACTGTATTGTATGCAAAAATATTATTCAATATGATTAAAAAAAATCAAAAACTTTCCTTTTGTTGTATTGATTAAGATGTATTTTTGCATGAGATATAATATAGCTTATAGACATTTTTGTGGGGCATATAAATAAGAATTTTAGTATACCAGTTACAATGTTTGCTATTATTTAGTGTGTTTACACTATTTTGAGTATATTCCTTTTTAATTATACCTATATACATATTGTAACTGATAAACATGCTTTGAAGTCACTTCATTTTTGTTGGTTTACATCAGCAACTGTGCAATTGCATCTTTCTGAACTAGCTGTCTGCAACAGAATTTTCCTCTTGTAAGTGCCATGGTATAAGGGCAATAGCTCAACTCTCATGGAAGTTACTTCAAATCCCTTTGTGTACCTGAATCAGCTCTCAGCATTTCTTTTTCTAGATCTAGTAGACTGGATATTTTCCCAGTTGTCTTATCCATGGAGAAAAATTCTTGACTTAAAGCATAGTAAGCTCTTTTTATCTTGCTTATTTTCCTTATTAACTATTTTGTATTTGATAAGAAGTATGTTCATTTTCTGACTTTAGTGACTTCCATGAACAACTTAAACTTTCCTCTTCAGCTTCTTCTCATTTCTATAATTCTAACAAGGATTCTACTCTAAATCTCATTTGATAGCATACAGCCCTTTCTTATGATAGACTTTGTTTTAGGCATGGCTAATATTGATTACCTCTCCTCTTCAGATGTTTTCTGCACTTCAAAGAAAATTTCTAAAGTGATTTTCTTTGAGTTCACAATATTTTAGGTTAAGGTGCTTTAGCTTATTAAAAGTCTCCCACTTGTTCAATCTACTAATTTATTAAAAAAATTCTTTTATACATAAATACTTCATGACTTACTTGGAATGAGTCCAACAATTGTAAGGGATAAGAATAAAGTTGCAATTAAAAATTTATCTGCCATTGGATCAAGAAATGAACCAATCATTGACTGCTGACTAGGAAATGTACGAGCAATAAAGCCGTCTAACTAAAATAAAATAAAACAACACTTATTTACATTTAACAATTTTTTATATTAATGTTTTGTTTTTCTGAAATATAACAACAGATTTTAAAATTTGTATGTGTATTAAATTACACATTTTATAAATTCTAAAATGTTAAAATTTAGATTAATTCTGTTATGAATTTTAAATGTTTGTTTATATTTAAAAATTAAATGTATATTAATACAAAATCAATAAATACCAAATCAGTTATTCCAGCAAAGATAAAAATTCCTAAAGCCGAAAAATAGTTTCCATTGATAACAAGATAACCAAGAACTGGTGTGAGGGTAATTCTCAAAACTGACAATCCATTGGGAACAGTTAATACATTTTCTTTCTATTAAAAAAAAAGTATTTTTTATATAATCATCAAAAATTAATTCATAATAATTAATTAAAAATTTTATCTAAACACATTTTTATTTAAAATATGATTGTAATATTAAGTTGTAATTTATTAAAAAAGTATTGGAAATGGTTCATTTAAGCCAGTGTTTCTCAACCTCTAATGAATCATCGCCCCCTTCAATAAAACCATTACATAGTATCACCCCCTACACTTCAAAATTCCGATGTCGAGGGCCAAGGCTAACGCCAAATTTGTACTGCATTGAATAGACTATTGACTAGTATAATGTTATTTGTTTAATTATTGTATGATATAACAAATAAAATATCTAATTATTCTTAATATAATGTTTTACTATAATCGCCCAGAAAATTGTTTTTCGCCCCCAAAATATAAATTGTTACTAATCGCCCCTCAACATGGAAAAACGCCCACATGGGGGTGATATCGCCCCCGTTGAGAAACACTCATTTAAGCCATGCATGTGCAAGAGAGTGCTGTTGTTGTTTTCTCATCATTTCATACAACTTTCATTGACTAACAAGCAATCCATTTGTCATTGTCTGTTTTTATTTGCAAATAAATGCTTGCTTTACATGTAAGGAATTTTTGTGCCAGTGATTTTTCAAAATGTCAAGTGCAATTGAGCAAAGAATGTGCATTAAATTTTGTTTTTGTAATGGAATTACTGCTACAAAAATGTTGGAAATGTTGCAAAAAGCCTTTGGTGATGATAGCCTATCAAAAACAAAAGTTTTCAAGTGGTACAAGATGTTCAAAGAAAGCAGAGAATATTTTGAAGATAAACCATGCTCTTGTAGACCATCCATTTCAACTGACAGACAACATGTCAAGAGTCCGAGATTTGTTGTTTAACGATTGTTATTTAACAATTAGGGACATTATTGAACATGTTCCAGTATCATTTGGATCTTGTTAAGCAATTTTAAAAGATCATTTGGCTTGTGCATATTGCTTCTCAAGTGTCCCAAAAATATTGAATTTTTTCCAAAAACAATGTGTTCAAGTGGCCAGCAAAATGCTTCATCAAGGTGAATTATTCTTAAATGGCATTATTATGGGCAACAAAACATGGATCTATGCTTTCGACATTGAAACAGCTCAACAATCTAGTGAATGGCACTCAAAAGGTGAAGCAAGACCAAAAAGACATCAAAATCAGTCAAAAATCAAAGTCATGTTGAATCTTTTCTTTGTCATGATGTTTCCATCAGACTGAATAGTTATGTCATTTGGTTGTGTGATGTTTTTTTCAGCTCCTGCATGTTTATGCAAACATTGTAAATTTTTTTCATTTCCTGTGGATAATTTTGATGTCATTGTGTTCCTGATGAGGAGAAGAGTCGATTGATGTCTTATTTTGTGGATCCTCCCAGTAGTTTTAGAAATTTTGCAATTTTAAAAAAATCTCTATTTTTGTTGCCTTAACTTAAGACTGTTACAATGACCTTGTAACATCACAGCTTTCAACAATTGTTGATTGAATGAATAGTGTTTACTGTAACCTTGTTTTTTTTTCCTTTTCGTAATTAACACTCAGATTTAGATATGTTGGGAACAACCTGAATAACATTGGACAAAGCAGAACTTGCCAGACAAACAAATAGGTTTTCTGGATTACTTTGTTCCATTTTTATCCTAGATTTAGTTTTAAGACTTACCTGTAGTTTATTTTATTAGAATATGATTTAGTGTTGTTATTTTCCTGTTACTCTCCTGTTTCTGGTTGAGGAATTGCTGACTAATTTACTCTATTCAGACTTACAGGAGCACAACTGTTGTTGGTTAATCCATTCAAGATTTATTCATGTGATATTTTTGATTTATGTTGCCTGACAATTTACCAATTGATGACTGATCTTAGCTGCCATTTCTGCAGAATTTTTCAGTTGCACATGCTCCCTTCCTCAATCCTGCAACTTTCTCCACTTTTGTAATGGATTCTATATGTAATAGACATCCTCAGGTATTGACGATATCAAACTAACGGCTAGTAGAATAGAATGTTTTTTTTCGTAGAAAACGTTTGTAGAAAGAATTTTTCTGTTTGGTTATGAACTGGTGATGATTTAGTTGGTAAGTGTTATATAATTAAGTACCCAGTTTTTTGAAATACAGTATAGAATTCTATATGTGTTGATATAAGAGAACTTTCGCTTTCTGCTTATTGGGTACTAGATAAGATGAAGAGGTGCTTTTCTGATAAATGATGGTGCCAAGCTCGGTACCTCTAGATGGATCTTCATGGCAACTAAACTGTATACCATCTGTTGGAATGTTCTCATATTAATGTTATACATGTACAATGTTATATTATGTTACTGTTTTATTTACACACTATATAACACACATCTGTTTTCATATTATGCATGTATTTCATATAACTATGTAGCCTCACCATTTAGATGAGGTAGCTGCTAGGGAATGCTCTGCAGAACCTGGTGGCACATTCATGTTATTAAGTAAAAGTAGTAGTAGTAGTAGTAGTAGTAGTAGTAGTAGTAGTGATGTTTCCATCACAAATTCCTTCTGCCTAGCCAAACTGTCAACAAAGAATATTATTTAAGTGTTTTACATCATTTGCATAAAGCAATTCATAGAAAACAGCTTCATTTATGGAGAGAAAATTCATGTATTTTACACCATGATAATGCACCTGCTCACAATGCTCTTGCCATTCATGCATTTTCAGCCAAAAATTCAACAAACAGAGTTCTGCAAGCACCATATTCATCTGATGTGACTTTTCTCTGTTTCTTCAACTAAATTTCCACTTTGTGATCACTATTTTGTATCGACTGATGCCACAAAACAAAATTTGTTGCGAGTCCTGAAGGGTTTAACAAAAATGACTTTAAAGCATATTTTGAGAATTGGAAAAAACATTGGCATAAGTACATTACAGTGGGAGGGGATTACTTTGAAAGAAAGAAAATAAATTTTGATGAATAAATTCAAATCTTGCATTTTATTGAACCATTCCCAAAACTTTTTAATCACACAGGTATATACTAAATACACTAAAGCCTGTCTAAAATAGAATATGATGGTACAGACTAGAATTTTCCATTTTACATATAATTGTTTTTCAATGAAAAACATATCCAGCATACTGTATACTCATTGTTATTACACATGCAATTTAATTTCAAAAATAGGGCTTTGCTGCAACATATCCTAACTCAACTCTCAGCTCTGGTCCAAATTCACAGCTTGCCTCTAAAGACTTAAGCTCAGCTCAGTATTTCCAAATAGCTAAGTTCAGCTGAGCTTTGCTGAATTCTATTGGTAATGTATGCTTATAAAAGCAAATGCAAAAATTTCAAAAATAAACTTTTAGTATCAAATGAAATATTAGTTAAATAACTAAATTATTATTAATATTTCTCAAAATTCATCATATTTTAACTATAATAATATACTTTAAATATTTACAAATGATAAAATTATGGTTATAAATGTTTACAATGTTATAACAGTAATAAAAGACTTATCACATAGAGTTACAGAAGTTTTATAAGAATTATACTGTATTGATTTATAAACTTCATAATTTTTTTAAACATGTGAACAGTATGCCAGGATCCTAGTGTCTATCAAAATTTAGGAACCAGTACTATAAAGAAAGTATAGGGAATAAAAGGATTTTTGGATTTCATACAATAAAAAATACAAATGGAAAAGATGTGAAAGAAAGCATCCATCCTCATACACTTTTATATCAAGATTTTTGGGCTCCAATTTTCAAATTGCAAACCTATACATACAATCCCACTGTTGTCCATATGCCTGTCTGTCCTTCTTAAGATTAATATTTTAAGAATGCAGTTAGATAGATAAAAATCGAGACTAGATATGAAAAACTTCAGAACCAGAGGCCCAATTAACTACAGTATAGGTGAACTTCCAGTCTGGAACTGAAGTCACATCATTTGAATTCAAAAATTTTCTAAAAAACAGATGACCAGCACAACTCAATTGTTATCAGGAGAAGCACAATGCACAAGGAGAAGACACTACTAAAATTCAGACCAAATATGGAAAACTTATGGGCTGGATACCCCGATTAACTAGGTAAGAACTTCTGATCCAGACTGGAAGTCATATGATTTTTTAAATTAAAAAACGATTAAAAATTACAGCCTAGAATTGTGACAATGTCACAATAAATAATTGCTCAAAAAATTTTCTTTTGCAAAAATATTAATTTCTTCTTTTACAGGAATACAGTTCATCTGATAAAGTTGTGAGATATGTAAAATTTTAGCCAGAAAAGTCTAATAAAAATAGACAGAGAAACTATTTGTCATTTAAAAGTTAATTTGCGATACAACACAAGTAAAATGTACCTTTGTCAAACATTAAAAACTTCTAGGAGATAGATTTTCAAATCTTTCAACCATTGCTGGATTTATTATCAGAATTTATGCCAATTAATTCGATATCCAAAATTTTACATCAAAGAAAAAAAGCCTTAGTCAATAGAGAATAATTTATTTATATCTTTAAAATTAAAATCTTAAAAATTTTCTAAAGGGTAGTCAAAGATTTCTTTACAGAACTGCCTTTAAAAAACATTTAATTTATTAAATTTTAAGAATATACATTCAACCCATGCCACGTACAGAACATGTCAAATGCATTTAAGGTCAGTAACAAAACTGCAAACATTCCCATTTCAAATGGTGGAAATACGTACAGTACATCCATTCAACATTAGTGAAAATACTGTATATACGAAATCATCCTATAATCTGTGCATACCCCATATAATTCTGATCTTTTAAAGCAGTGGATCTCAACTGGCTTTCCTCAAACTGGCCTAGAGCGTTCCACAAAAAGGAAAAAAAAAGGCTTTAAAGTTTTTATTACAAATTTATTTGAACATACCACAGCATATTATATACTTTATTCTTAGACAATTCACGTTTCTATTTTATTCAATGCGGTAAAGTTTAGCACTTTACTGTCTATGGAATCATTTATAGATGTTCGAATACGTCAACATCTACACCAACACTCCACATAATAAAAAGTACACAGACAACGTTCCACCACCCCAGAAAAGTAAAGAACTGCTGTCTTAAGGGTACAAACACAGCTCTGAATGAGGCAGTCCAGGACAGGGACGGCAAACCTCTTTTGGTCCACATGCTGCGTAGTAAGCACACTGGGCTTTAAAGACATTTACACGTACCAATGTTTTATACTCCAAATAATGATATTTGAAGAAATTAAATGAATATGCTTTAATCCAAATAAACAAAATTGCAAAAAACCAATGGAAAAAGAATGACTAGGCGACAAACCAAAAGGATGATGGAAAAAGACTGGCAACAAACAGAAATCATACGACATGTTGCATGCAGGATTATTTCTCCAATGTGCCGCGGGTTCGTCACTATTGGTCTGGGAGGGAAAGTATAAAATTGGGCAGAGTCCAAGCCTCTCGTTTGGAACTGCAATTTTACCCTTTTAAAAGTTTATAAACCAAGTCACTCCTTATAAATAGATTCATAAGGAGTGTCTCGGTTTAATAATCAGTCGTGGCACTTACAATTTTCGTAATTCTTTTCCTAACATTATGCGTAGTTTCTTTGAATTTAATTCTAGTTCCCTTTAGTCTTCCATTTTCTCTGGGTCTGATCAAAACGGCAACGTGCTCGTCCCTGGAATCCCTTCTAGAAAAAGTTTGATGAGCGGCGCATCGGGACCATCTCAATCGATTTCGTGCACTGACCGACAGAAATCTAAAACCAAACCAAGATACATTCTTCGGGTAGAAACTTGAACCATTCGTAAAATTGATGCAATTACAATATTTAAAATTTCCAAAAGTACATTCTCGTAACAATTCACCGTATTTTACGGTCACCGATAAGTACCGCCCGAAGAGAAATGCCATTCTTAACTTATAAACACATAACTTTATAAAATCGACGAATTGTATGGTATTAGACTTTCCCAGTCCACGAAACATTCATGTGTTCGACCATCTTGCTCTTTTCACGGCGCCATCTTTCCTTAAAATAAATGTTTATATAGATAAAATATATTATATTTGTCATTTGTGATGTTAAAAAGACAAATAGCAATGCCATAGCATGATGAAAAATTTGCACATAATAATAATTTAGTAGCAAAATGATAAACATTTTTCCAGCAACAAAGTTCATATTACATAAAATTATTTTAAAAAAGTGAATTTATGAATTTATATAACACATGAAATGAAATCACTCAAAAACACAGTGCATATATACAATGAATAAATTTATCATTTGTTATGAAAATAGAATAATATCATGTAATGATTAAATTTTATCATAAAATAAGTTATTACTTTTTGTTTCGANGTTGCATAAAACTTTTCAAGAAAGTATTTTTCGTATATTTTATTGTTCAAAATTCATTGATTAAATTTATGTCAGTAAAAATGTAAATACTGTAAAAATGTTTACATACTCTCAGTATTCTTTGTTGTGTTAATTTATAAAAACACGGATGTTTAATGGAGGCACACACTGCAGTTTTCTTTTTCATTATAAGATTTTTTGTATTCTATTTTAATTTGAAAAATCTTTCGAATTAAAATAGAATACAAAATACCTAAACTGCAATTGTTATTGGCAGCTAAAGGCTTACTACACTAATCACACAGTGGATACAGTACCTCGCGATCCAACTTTCACCTTCCCAGAATATACTCTTTCTGACAGAGACGTAACTTATTTCGTACATACGTCTTGCTCGAGATTTTGCTTGTTTCCATAGTAATAGAAGTTTTTCTATGTTAAGTAAAAACAAAATTTATTTTAAAAAACACTATTGATATCAGTATAAATAGATGTAATTAAAATAAGCAGGCCAACGAAAGGGTAGAAAAGTCTGGGCTATAGTCCCAGAACCTTGGTAGGAATTTTTATAATAATAATTTGTATAATTATCCGTCAAGTCATGAAGAGCTTCTTCCCGAAGACTACAAGGCAAGGATGTTGCAAGGCTTTGCAGAAATGTGTTTGGATCTTGACAACATGGACCCTACCGTTTCCGGACGAAGAGTCCTTTTTGTTTGCAGCCAAGTAAATTTCACTAACCTGGGCCAATTTTTATTGGCTGCATCCTTAACTCCCGAAAGTACTTGGAGCTCTTAATAGAGCACGTCGTACCACCGTTGGCAGATGCGGCTTTCGATAACGCCACTATTAACACAACGGAGCTTCCCGTTCATTAAAGTCTTCCAGTTAGAGGGTAGTTACGTGCCACTTTTCCAGGAATATGGATTGGTCGAGGAGGTTCATATCCGCAGCCTCCCCGCTCTCCCGATTTGACGCCATTAGATTTTTTGAAGGCTGCATAAAGGACAGGGTTTACAGCAGTTGAAAATGTCGCAGATTTACAAGGCATAATTGACACTTTCGCACAGATAATGGCTAACCAGCTGAGGAAGATTTCGAATCGCTTTGCAATTTAAACTTTTATCAAATTCCTTTGGTCGGCTTTATTGTAATGTCTGCGTTTGTGCTGATGTTGAAAACCTGTTACTGCCGTTTCGTAATCGACATTATATATTTTTTGAATTTTTCATAGTCCATTTATAAAAATCCATAAATTCAGATGACTTGTGATTTATAATTATTTTACCAATATTTACAAAAAAGAAAACACCAGCCATATCGCATGCTTACTAAGCATGCAAAAATTTTTGTTTCTCACACAAATAACAGTGGCCCAGCTGTCGTGTACCCTTCAAATGTCAGTTTATTGTACCATATTGGACCCGTAAAACTATATGTTAATTTAAAAACTCCAACAACGAGTTGCGTAACTTTCCGGGCTGTGATAAGATTTTATATTAAAAATTTTTTATGATTAAAAATATAAATGTTGTTTGGCACCATCATTGGCCATACACAACTCACTTTTACTAATCAAGAATTACAAATTTATTATTAATTTAAAAGAATCTCGACACGAATTTCGCTTTGTGGTCTCATCGAATATGCCAAAACGCGTTGTGAGCACTTTTGAAAGTGCCGCGACGCAAAATTGCATTGTTGCTGTATCCGAGAAAACAGAATGCGTTGTGGTCGATTATTTTTTGCTCAATGAGCGTTTTCGATCTTTGAGCCTAACATATATACATAACAGGAGAAAATATTGGAATCGTATCAAGTTTGATCCTCCGGGATTTTTGCAAATCTCTACTTTATGAGACCCCTGAACCCAAATCTCAGAATGGGATTAAGAAACGAAATTTGGCACGGTAACTTGTATATAAGGGGTATTAGTGCTATTAAATTTTGGCAGTTAAAGATCGAGATAATGAAGAGATAGAGGGGGTCACGTGTCAATCGAGATGGTTCGAACTTAATGAGGATTTTACTCGTTATTAGCATTTAATTAAAATTTATTTATAAAACTGATCATTATCCCCAAAATTGAGTTTACCGCAATTTTATAATAATTAATAATACAGTATAAACATTTTTTTACGATAAAATCTCATAACAAATGGCGCCATTTTAGATACACAATTTTATCTATTATGCTTAATAATATAAAAGATTTTTTTTTTAATAAAATCTCATAACACCCGGAAAAGTTACGCTACTCATTGTGCTGAAGAATTTTTTAAATTATTATTATTTTTTTGATTCGGAGCTCTGAAAACGTTAAGACTTGCAGAAAACTCGAAGAGTCAAATTTGACACGATTCCAATACACTCTCTTCTTACGTATATAAAACAGCCAGGAAAGAAAAAAATAATAATAAAGTTATTCATCAGACCAGACTTAAATTTATCATAAAACAACACTAGTATGAAATATAAATGACTATTTATCAGTTCTGAGTGCTCCAGGAATGTTCCACAAAACCAAAACATTTCAGAACTATTCGAATTCAGAACCATACAAATAAATGAGCTTATTGCAGTGGCGGATCCAGAAGTACTCTAGGGGATTAACTCAAAAATATTTGATTAATTAATAAGTATCTTTTATTAACACGTGCACGACGATTGAATTGAGGATGGCCAGATAAACCACATTTGTTGTCATATGGTAAATGTTTTAAAAACGTTTTAAAGTTCAAATAAATACATTTTATTTATTTATTTGTTTGTTTGTTTTTTATGTAGATGAAGAGAGCTTGGAGCCGCCCGTCTTCATGTCTTCTGTGCATTGCTTTACTTGGGTCAGACTTTTTTCATACTTAAACCAAAATAGATTACTTTTGAAATGTATTTTCCTTGTTTGTTCAATTAAACTTGCCTATGACAAAAGACATTTTAAATATACCTACTTATAATATTTCTAACGATTTGAAAATTTTGCTTAAAATCCTATACCACCATTAATGTGAAAATACAAGATCTTAAATATTAAAGGACGCTTTATTATATTTTGCTTAAGAAACTAAAATGTTTTAGTTATGCCACTGGGATACATGCATATTGAAACTAAGAAAAAAAATTCAATATTTTTCAAATTTTAATTCATAACAAACAACTATTTATTGTGACATGGTCACAATGTTCTCAAATTTTTTAGTAGTCTTGCCACTGCACATCATACTTTTCCCGTTAGCAAAGAAGTACGTGTATCTAATTTGAAAAGTTTTGAATTGAAATAATGTGACTTCCGGCCCAAAGCAGAAGTTGATATATAGTTAATCGGGGCCACCTGTCCCTAAGCTTTCCATATCTGGTCTTAACTTTCATCTAACACCGTTCTCGAGATTAAGGAAAGATAGGCAAACGGACCACCAGTGGGAATTTATAGGTCTACAATTTTTTCAAATTGCAGCCCAGCCCAATAAGTTAAATTATCAGATTATTATTTCAGCAACAATATAGTGCTGTTTTCCCCAAACTTATCACAACGACTTCTGTATGTTATAACTCTATTTTTATTGTTTTAACAAAATGCATTTTGATCGTTCCTCTTCAGTTGTTACCTAGTTGCTAATTTTCAGTGACCTAGTTGCTAATTTTGCGAAAACAAAGGGCGACCCACGCGTTTTCCTGCACAGTGTGGCGTTGTTTCTCGTTGTATGAGCATTACACCGCACATCTAGCCAAACAATTCATTGCTTTCCTTTTCCCTTTAGCTCCATCATGGGACCAAAGAAAGTTTCCAAAGCCAGCAACTCTTCGAAGAAGGCGGCCTGGAACACGATAGAATTGAAGAAGGAAATCATTGAAAAATATGAGACCGGCATGAAGATTGCTGAAATCGGCTGCATTTACGGGACGTCGTCATCGTCCCATCTGCGGTAAGTTCCATTGTGGCGAAAAAGGAAGCAATAAAGAAGGCTAATGCAGCGGAAGGCATGAATGTGCTAACGAAACAGAGATCTCAAGCAATTGAAGATGTTGAACAGCTATTATTAATTTGGATCAATCTTTCTTATTGTTTTTAGTATTAAACACTATATTTATTCTCTATAATGTTTTTGTTATGTATTTTGGAGTATCTAGAACGAATTAATTGAATTTACATTAACTCTTATGGAAATAATTGCCTCGGTTTTTGTCGGTTTCGGATTTCGCCGATTGTTTTTAGGACAGATTATCGATGAAAACAGAGGTATCTCTGTAGTTGTTACATAATAAAATTTGGTGAGTTAAATTATGATAAGATAAATTCAAAAAGTCCACCAGTATATTTATATCTTTAATTTTTATAAAATTAAAGAAATATTCGTAAAAATTCATTATTATATTCAAGAATGATCCCGAATGTTAACTGTATTAAATATGTCATTTTATTATAAAAAAAATTGTTAGACACAGACCACTTACTTTTACTCAATTTTTAATTTCAAGTTTTAAATAAATTTATGCAAATTAATCACTACTAAAATAAAATTAAATATGTATAAGTTATGACAAGTTCTCATAACCATAAATATAGGCATCTCCATTAGCAGTTGTAGCTAAAATCTAAAAAAATAAAGAAAATAATTATTAAAAATATTATTTACATTTAAATTAAAAACAAATTTAAAATATTTTATATCTCTTAAATTCTAAGTAAAAATTAAAAATTTTCTTATTTGCTTTTCCTGCGTTTCTTTATGCAGCGCTCGAGAAGCGCTTTACAGCGAACACACTAAAACATTGCTCGTGACGTCATTTCGCTACACTCTCGCTGCATAAAGAAACGCGAGGTTTCTTAATTTTTATGTACAGTAAATGCTCGATATTACGGACCCCGATATAACGGCCCTCCGTTATTACGTACAGCCAATGTCGGTCCGGCCAAAAATATAAAAAAATTATCACATAAAAAGACTAAATCTCTGTAATGAACTCACGCTACTACGGATTGTTTTTTTGGGTTCCGCAGATCACTGCCTTTCCCGTATTAAAGACTTTTTAGTCGCCATTTTATTTCGTTGCAGTCGTCGCGTTATTTACTTTATTTGCAGAAAAAAAATTAATAATAAAAAAAAAATAAATAAATACAGAAATATAAAATTAATTTTTAATCATTTTTTAAACGAGATGTAAATTTTCACATTACTTTTTGCTTTTGTTTCGTTTTCTTTATGAGCGGCGAGTGTTGGATAAGTTGTGTAAAGCAAAGCCATGAATCATAAAACAAAAAACGAGAAGCTTTAGATTTATATCAATATACACTTATTTCAATATCTGCAGAAAACCAGGTTAGCATTTCAAGAAGTGACCAGAAAAAATAGACAAATTCTGAAACAAATA